GAAAGTTCGAAGAAAAGCTGCTCTCTCCAAAATTTTGATACAGGGGTAATTCATAGTAGGAGGTCATGGTGATAGTGGAAAATATTAGTGGGATTACAAAGTCCGGTGAGTGACCGCCACCGTAACACGTGACTGGTTGGCGCGCAACGTCACGTGTCATCGATTAGAATTCGAACGGTAGCGGTCACTCACCGGACTGTTAAATCCGGCTTGTGTGGAAAATTACCAATTGGCTGCTGGTTCCTGAAAGGCAATATGGGCGACCTAATTATGAAACGCACTGTTGTGGGCAGTGCAAAAGTGCCCAGAGACGCCTGGCTCGGCTCCAAATCCCATGGAAGGAGGTGAGAGCCCTAGGACTAAGCCTTGTAGGAGGGAGGGACTTCGAGGTGGGTGAGCCAACTACAGTGTGGCAAAAGTTTGAATGTGTGAGATCACAATGGTCATGAGCCGCTGATAAGGTGAGAGAGCGCAGACGAGAGATGATCTGAGGCGGCTTAAAGGACCAAGTAGTCCGTCAACCGGTAGCATACGGCCCATGAATGTAATACGCGTGGAATATGGTGTATTGTGTGTTCATACCAGTGTAACGCTATTAGACTACGCCTAAGTTAGGTTATTCGATTTGGACGAGCACCTGAAATTTTGTTCTTCTAGCCTTTCTTTGATGCTTTCTTATTCGACAATTCTTCGCAAAGTCTGCAGTGCACCTGTTTCTTTGCGCTATATCTGCATTTCAGTCGTTGTTGACTCTTCTGTTTTGCCTGCGTTCTGACAATTAGAATCATTAAATTTGATTTTGTTCTTTGATCTACACCGCACGTTTCAGTGGTTTTTTACGGGCGATATGGCTGATGCCATAAGCCCTGATGTACATATAAGTCGCCGTAGGAAAAGAAACTCCAAGTATGAGGTGCGTTTTCTTTCTACAAGTGTTTTTTTTTTGAACACGTTGACGACATCGCGTGTTTTGGCATTTTGCACCGCGTGGGACAGGAGCGATTTTGCGAGCCCGCCTCACCTTACTTCCGCTTATTTTTTGTTTAAAATGCACAACAACTTGAATCTCATAGGATTATTTCGGCAAGGATGAAAGCATAAAGGTTAACTATATAAATAGCAGTAGATTTTTGTTTAGAAGAACGCATAATGACCACGAAGAAGCAAAAAACATCACTTTCGCTGCGAATGAAATAAAAGCATTTATACCTAAGTTTTTCCATCAAATACAAATATCTTGAAACTCACAGAGTTTTGTATTAACTTCTACAATCTTTCATATGAATGTTACGACAGTGAAAGGAATACTAGGAAAGAATTGAATGAAAGTTTTGTGCGTTCAGAAAATCTTTGCTAAATCAAGGATATTTGACCACTCTGGCTGCCATGTGGTTTATAGTTATGCTAATGTATTATCTATAGAATGAATACAAAAAACTCGAGAAGAAGGAGCGCAAGCACGATAAAAATGAATGATATAGTTCTGACGCGCATGCGCGTCAGCCTGTCGTCAACGTGTTAATGTTTTTAATGCATGCCTACCATTTACATTGAAACCTGTCATGATTTAAACAATTTCAGTTCCATGCGAGGTCGATGTGCAGCGCATGCGCTGCACACACAAATTATTTTTTTTTCGCGCATGCGCTACTTCTTTTCTAATTTTTTGCATCTATTCTATAGACCACACCATAATATGACTAGACACGGCGAGGTTCATCGAATGGTTGAATATGCTCCTTTTTAGCGAAGGTTTTCAAGTCCTACGAATTTCCCAATTGTGTTCATTCCTAGTTTTCTTTATATTCTGACAACCTTGGTCATAAAAAAGAGTAAGTACAGACCTACACATATAGCAAGATATATGTTTTTAGTGGAGCAACCGCGTCAAAAATAATTTTGAGGTTCACTACAGCAAAAGCAACTGAAACTTGCCTTTTCATTGCCAGAAAACGTCAATTCGATCGAACTTTTACAGTTGCCCTTCTGATAAGTTTGACACATCGAATATCATTCGAAACATTTTGTTGCATCCGAGTTTTGCGTAGTTAAAGCTCAAAATTCACGGATTTTATGTGAGGCGGCGGCGCCTGCAAAATCGCCGTGGTCCCACGCGGCGCAAAAACCCAGAGCCGCGCGTTGTCGTCCCCGTGTTAACTTGTATATTGACGGCAGTTTAGACCATGTGGTGCAAGCTGAGATTGCGCTTAATTTGCAGGCACGTAGGATCGTGCGGGAAATACATATGTGGCTCACACTCTTGATGCTTTTTTTCGTGCACACCTGACTGCTTCTTAATGGTTTTGAATTTATACATCAGTATTGAACTTATTTATTTCAATTGAGTAGTTCACAGGGTGACTTACTTAGACTTAGTTCCTCCCGTGCTGGAGAGCACATCGGGCGACGAATTCTTTCCACTGTTGCCGGTCTTGTGCAATCATTTCTCCTTCATTCCTAGAAACATTCATGATCTTGAAATCATTCTCGAACGTTCGTCTCCACGTGTTTCTGGGACGGCCTCTTCCTCGCTTGGCGCCTGGAGGTATCCAGTTCATGGCCACCCTTGGAACTCGTTGTTGTGTCATGCGCAAAATATGGCCAGCCAGTCGAAGCCTACGCTGTGCCACAATCACGTGGAGGCAATTCGAGCCACAACGGCGTAAAACTTCCTCATTGGTGACGTGATCCATGTAGCGTATTTTCATAATCCGGCGTAGACATCTCTGGTGAAAGGCATTCATCCTCTTTACAATACTAGCAGTACTTTTCCATGTTTCACTTGCATATAGGTAAGCATGTAAATAAAAAATTGTGGAGGTAAATGTGGAGTGAGTTGGTGAAGAGGGGGGGGGGGTGGGACCACGCGGCGGCGCGGCGCTTCGTCGCCTTCCTTTCCAAGGCTTAGTCCGCGGTGCCACTACAGTGGAGTAATGATTTTGTACTCCTACTGACTAGTATAGGGCGCCATTCGTTGCGGGACCCACTGCCTTAACCCGCGGGGATCCCAAGCGATCGCGGTTGAATTCGAACATTCCAGCTTCTCACGCATGTCAAGTGACTGCCCTCACCCCCCACCCCCCTAGACTGGCTACACTGCCCCTGGCTCACGGATTCCCCGCTCCACATTGAAGGGTTCACTGTAGCAGGAGGCAGTGGGACCCGTAACGAATGGCGCCCTTTACTAGTCAGTAGGAGTACAAAATGATGGCTCCCCACTACAAGTCGAAACTGCCGCAGTGCGGCGAAGTAGCACCTGCCCCTATGCTTCCCCTCCCCCTCCCCCGGTGTGCTTCACTAGGACAGAAAGCGACTTTTTCGCGTTTCGCAGCGCGAAACATTTTCTCGCTGCAGGAACCTCAGGTCCACCGCTGATCATGAGTGGACCTGGAGTTCCTGCAGCGAAAAATGTTTTGCACCAATGTATTTCAAACGCGAAGTTCGCTTTCTGTCCTAGTGAACTACACCCCCCCCCCCCAATTAAATCAGCACCAGGAGTAATATGAAGATGATAGAACATACTTTTCTGATAAAACAATCATGGTAAATTTGAAATTGTTTGTTACAACAATTGCAACGAGATGCAATAAATCTTGCTTTTCCATTGCCATTCCATGTTCTTTCCGTCGAAGTTCTACAGTGATGCACACATATAGCTCTACGCATTGAGGATTACATTACTGACATGATTTTGTGTTAATATGTGAAAGTGCAACTGTATTCAAAGCATAAGCACTATTTAACGCTTGCGTAATAATTTAAAACTTCAAGGGCTGTGGAGGAAGTCATAGTTAGCGACACAGCGAACGTACCTTAACTTTTTAATATTGTTATTTCAGGAAAATTTTGAGGACATTGACTCGAAGTATGAAGATGAATTCGATGAAGATTTTGTTCCAGCAAAGCGAGGACGACTGCTTAAGCCCAAGGTAGGATTATCTTTCTCTTAAGTTGGTGTCAGAGTCCGCGATCCGTCGCAGGTTCGCTGATTTTCGCGATTTGCGCGATTCACGCGACGGATCGCAAAAATTGCAAGTGTGTGAACATTTGAAACACTGAATATGAAACAAGTGGAATCATGAGCAGTCGTCATTCAGCCATCACTATCAAGCAGAAGTGGCGGCAGGATTGGCAGTATTGATCGGGCACTTGTGATTTCCGTGACCCGTCGCGTGAATCGCGCAAATCGCGAAAATCAGCGAAACCTGCGACGGATCGCGGACTCTGACACCAACCCTATCTGTCTGAAGTATCGTGCATCGATTCAATCGCATTATTTCCAGCCACTTCGAAATCTTAACTCGTATGACTCGATACAACTTGAAGTCACTAAGGAGAAACAACGTAAGACGCCCATGAGGAAACCAAAACCTACAAGATCTACGAAGCGTGAGTTTGTCTGGGATGAACTTTACTTAGTGTCGGATCATACTTTCGCTGTTAAACTGCTCAACATTAAATTTTTAGTTTATTTCAGGAGATGAAATCGAGGAAGCAGAGGATTCTGAGATGAAGATGTCAGCAAGGATGGTGGATAGAATAGCTGCATTGAACGATGGGAAAAGGACCAAAGTTGTAATGGCGAACTGCTTCGAAGATAGAACGGCTCTGGACTGTATAGACGTTTGTCTGAAAGAATCGGAAAACATGCAGGTTCGCCTTTGTTGGAAAATCTGCAAGCAACCTATTGCTAAAACGATACCTTAAAGGAATCTTCCACGGAAAGAGTGATCATTTTGTCTTGTGTGTAGGATTAGTATTATCGAAACTAACGCTTATGTTCCGTTCTTTTTGCTATGCTCATGAGGCTAGGGGCCTAAGGTATCGTTTTTCTGTGGTAATGGAGGCGGAGCTTTTTCCGTGGAAGATTCCTTTAAGTTATTCTCGGTACCTGAAATTCTTAATTGTTCGAGTTTTCTTGAGTCTCCGTTTTTTGATTCATATTTTCTCTACATGGTGAGCTGTTTTAAGGAGGACGCCGTAGCGTTGGCGATTGCAACGGCCGTATACAGTCTCCGCGTAGATCGGACTCACAACGACGCTCAGGAGACGCGCTACACTTTCATCCGTGGTAAAAGTGATGCTGAGAAAGGTAGTGGACAACCGCAACACGCTCAAAGCTCTACCATTTACCGTGTTTGGTCTTGTCATTGAATCTACCAATCTCAGTGTTAAAACCGGTCTGAAGTTCTTTTTTGCTCTAAGTTATGACAGTTGTGTGGCTTTCTGCATAACATAATTTCACGCCAAAACGCATCATGTTGAAATTATGATTCAAACACGGTGGGTGATAGCTTAGCTACCTCCTCCCCCTCCCTAGGTATTATAGTGCTCGGAATTATTTCCTGATATCTATCTATTTACCCCATCCCATCAAAAGTATTGCTAGATATGCCACATTAGTTCTAGAAAGAAGAAATGGGGGAGGCTTTTTGGCGGGCTGTGGTGGTTCCACTGCAAGATCAAATGGTGTCGTGCTTTTTTCCTTTTAGTTGCATGGCTCTGTTAGCTAGTAGTGTAGTGTGGTTGTAGTGGCTTTTCCATGCTTATCTTTTCTTCTTATTTACACTAGTGTTGCAAGCGTCTCAGTAGCAAAGTTAACGTTGTGCAGCGGTGTCTCATGATATCTTTTGATGAAGTCTTCAAGCAGTGAGATTTTTGGTAATCCGCAGGGGTTGCAGCGTGTAAGGCATGTACTGTAAAGCTTCAAGGCAGATGTCAGAGCTTACAACCGATTGTTAGGGAATCGTGTGCTTTGGTAGCGATTCGAGCAATGAGTAGTGTCTTCAAGGAACACCGGAGAACATTCACCGGTTTCTTGGGGACGCTCACCGCTTCTCACGGGCGCGGAATACCATAAATCGCTCGATCTGCTAACAAATCACGATCCGCTAACGGTTAGTCGAAGTCTGGTACCTGCCTATGGTGCCGGTGTTCTGTGCTGCATTCACTTTGAAAGAAACGATGCGGCTGTTTCTATTTTTTACTTTGTGTTGCAGTCAAACCACTTGGTTTTAAGAAGGCGATCTATCAAAGAAGAAGATATAGTTTTCGCCACTGAAGTTTTCTTTTCCTTTTTTAATTAGGGATGGGCAGTGATCAAACTGGTTATACTTCTTGCTCTGATAAATTCTTTTGCGCGCTGCTGAAGCAAATATGTGTTCTTACTGCTATTCACGGGCTGCGCGTAGTTGAGAAACCTCAATCATAGTACGTTAATTTATATCAAGACCTAACTTACCTGCTCTCCATTTCTGTGACGCTGCTTGCGCGCTTTATTTAGCTCTACCCTCGCTTCTCCTTCTGTAGATACATGTTCCATGTTGATTTCTTGTGTTTCAGCAATGCTGCTTGCTACCGGCGAAAACATTGAGAATGCCAAAGACAAAAGGAAGCGAAAGAAGAATGAAAGTGAGTTCTAGATCCTCCGTTTTCATTCTAAAATGTATTATTTTCACTAATGAGATTGCAAATTCTTGATAAAATGATCTTTTTTTTGCAAAATCCGCTCAAATAGTGGTCACTTACCATTACTTCTCAGCATCAGTATCATACTCCATATCATGCGCTTTTACAAAAATGTCTTTATGTGACTCATTAGTGGTCACGAGTTACCTCGTGGTCATCGCAATTTAACAGATTTCATGGATTCGTGAATATTATTTCTTCATAGGAGGCGAGATCCTTTCAAATATTGGAGTGATTGTATGCCTTTCTAGGGGAGATCTGGGACAAAAAAATCTTTCCAATGCTTCTGAGGGTTACCTTAGGCTTGCTTAATAATGGATTTTTACTAGGAGATGAAGAGGCACGAAAGGTGGCGGAGGCGGAATTGGATGAGTTCCAGAATGATGATAATGAGCAACAGGATTGGCTGAAGTCATCAGGCAATTTTTCAATGAGATCATAATCGTGTTTAACACATTCTTTGTCTACTGTACTAGATTTGGACTTCCCATTTCAGATACCGATACCTTTGATTACACATTCGGCTTGAAATTTCCACTGAGTGGTAGTTTTCTACAACACTGGAGTTTCACTCAAGAGCTTCTAGAAAGAGTTGAGAGCAGACGCCTTGATGTCAGGAAAAAACGACGTGTAAGTACGCTATAAAGAATGCTTTAAGTTAGAAATCTTTTTTCATAAATTTATTCAGAAGAGAAAGTTAATGTCATGGAAGAAAATACCACCGTTGGAGTTTTGTACGACATACACTGATTTTATGCGTGTGAGTTTTGTCTTTATGAAGTTTTGTGATATACTTCAACCGCATACCAGTCTATCTAAAGCATTCTATGAACCTTTACATCTTTTTTTAACATATGGTTGACAGTTGCTTCCTAAAGATGGTGTTAGCGGCAAAGTGTC